ATATTATATACAAGAATTTAACCTATCAAGTATTATAAGAAAAGTTGGTAAATTTTGTATTAAAGTTTTGTTAAAACTTTTGTTGGATTGTTAACACTGGATTTCTCATATCAGAAAGAGACAAAAAAAAAAAACACTAAAAGGGGGATTATGATGACAATAGTTGAAAGCCAACTTTGCAAGAGTAAATGGATAATTGCAATCTTTGAGGCATAAAGGTAAGTGAAAAAGAATTAGAAAATAATGTTAAAAATGTTCTACTGCTTATATTTTGACCTAAAATATTTCTAATATATATAGTGGGAGATAAAAGGAAATTAAAGTAAAAAGAAATATATAATGATAAGTAGAAACACAAATAGTGACTAAAAATGAATAATATAGAAGGAAAGATAAAGGAGATAAAAGGATAATACATATAAATTACTAAATGGAGAGAGAAAGTGAATGCATGTATGAGGTAAAAAGATATATATAATTATAAAATACAAGGAGAAAATGTATCTTGGTAATAATGCTAAGAAGCTACGTCTTTTATATTTTGACATAAAACATTTCTAATATAGAGAAGTGGAGAGAAAAAGAATTGAGGTAAAAGATATAAATAATGATACATTGGGATGCAAAGGAATGATTAAGAAATAATAACAAAAATGTAATGATAATGGGGGAAAAATAAAAATAAATAAAATACTAATAGAGTAGGAATCACTAATATAGAGAAAAAGATGACAAACGTAAAATAAAAAGATAAATATAATGATAATTTATGAAGAGGGAATTAACAAATAGAGTTATAAGAAAAAACTAATGAGAGGTAAAGTAAATGTAAGTGAAATGGTACCAAAGAACAATAGTAGTAAGTTGTGTCTTTTATGTTTTAACTTATAAGTTTCTAATATAGATAGTGAGATAGAGAAAATTGGGATTGAGACAAAGAGATAAAAAATTATAGATAATAATTCATGTAATGACTAAGCAAGAACGGCAGAGAGAGAATGCTAAGTGAAGAAACTAGAAAGAATAATAAAAATATAAATCACTAATTTATAGAGGTAAATGTAGGGTATAAATATATGTAGATAAAAAGTAGAATGCCCAAATCCACCCTCAAAGTTAGTTAATAAGGACGGATCCACCTTCAAATAAAAAAGGAGGACAAATTCACCTATAAAGTTTTCAACTTGGATAAATTATCTCAAATTGAACGTGATAATGACATCAACAATATGCTAACTTATTGTGTCATTGATAAGTTCATTGTTAGTAGATTTTTGGCCTCACACATTAAATATAGATCTGTCCCTATCACCTAACTTTGCCTAACTTTGGGAATGGGTTTGAGCAGTCTACTTAGATAAATTGTTGAGTGAGAAGATGAGAGATTGAGACTTAATAATGTTTTGACCAAAAATGTTTCTAATATAGACAATGGAAGAGAGAGAGAAATTAGGGTAAAATAAAGATATAATGATAGATGGAGATAAAAGGAGTGACTAATAAAAAGTAATATAAAAGGAAAGACAAAAGAGACGAAAGAAGAGTTAGGATTCACTTATATACATCACTTATACAAAATATTAACTATTCATCTCTTCACTATGAATGGTTGATATTTATACACTTTTTATCTTTTCTTTTTAAAGATAATTGTTTTTCTATCTAAAAAGTCATAACAAATCTTACTCAACTTCATGTTTGTATAAGTTGAGTAAGGCCAAATAAAAAATACTAAGAAAATAATACTAAGGAGTTGCATACTTTATGTTTTTACTAAAAAACATTTCTAATAAAACATGTTGTACTTGAAAAAAAGGGGGGGGGGGTCAAAAATAAGATATAGAATGATAGATTGAGATACATGGAATGTTTGAGAAGGAAGGATAAAGATGAGAGTATAACAAAAGAAAAGATAATATGTATAGTAGAGAATGTGAGGAAAGAAATTGAGAGATGGAATCCTAACAAAAATTATAGAGAAGTGAATTAAAGGTAAATGAAAAATTAAGTTCTTAGACAATAATATTAATAAATAGTGCTTTCTATGGTTTGACTAGAAAATATTTCTAATATATATAAAGGGAGAGAGTGGAAGACAAATGGGTTAAATATGTATATATATAACAATAGAAATATATATATGCAATAAATGATTAAGAAAAAACAATAGAGAAGAAAGGATAAGTAATAAAAAATAATGAAAAATAAATAAATTTTTAATATAGAGAGGGATTTACAAATATTATATATATATACACACACCCATACACACAAACACATGAAGATAATAATATGAGAGAGTAAAGATGAAATGGATGCAAAAAAAATAATAATGAGAGTTTAAAATAATGTGAAAAAAATATATCAATTTAAGAAAAAGAAACCGGAAGAGATACATTAAGTTAAATCTAAATTAAAATGCACAACAATGACATAAGCATATAATGATGAAACAAACTAGAAAACTGAAGGTCTTTCATAAAAAGATATAATACTAAATTATGAAAATCTGTTTTTATTTTTTAGAATTAATTTAATTAAATTTTTATGCTTAAATCTTTTTTTCATATCTATCATTTAATTTTTTTAATTAATAAATTTAAAATTACTAATTTATATCTATATATATCTAATATAAAATTCTACCCTAAGATTAATTAAATACTAATATTGTCATTTATTTTAATTATTATAAAAAATAAATTTGTAAAAAAATAAAAAAATTATTATTTTTACATAAAATAATATTTTTTCATAAAAATAATAAAAAAATAATAACCGTGATTAATAATTTAATTTAACTTTTTATTTTCTCCAATTTTTTTTAATTATTTTGTCATTATTATTTTTAGCTACATATATAATGCATTAAACCAAACAAAGAGAAATAGAAACCCAATACTTATGAAGAAAAAGAACAATTTATGGGATTACAATGTATAATAATCATTTGTGCAATATTGAAGAAATTAAATGACCCAAACTTATTTTTATTGTTGCTAAAGTAATTATGAGACCCATTTTTTTTCACCTTTCTTTTACGTCAAAAATCTTATTTTAATGAATTAAAGAAAGATAGATATAAGTAAACATGGAAAGTAAAATGTCATGAATATTCAAAATTCAATTATGATTCATTTAAATAATAAAAAATGTAATCTCAATTGAAATTATTATATTATAAATGATAATGGAACATCATGAGACATATAATTAATAATGTAATATATAAACGATAAATATTATATTATTTAAACGTTAGTTTCAAAAGTAATGATAAAGAAAAAATTGAAACAATTTACTAACAATTTGAATATGATTTATCTCTATATTAATGTATAAGAAAATATGCAAATGATCTAGGTGAATTTCAAGATTAAAGATGAAAGTGTGATTATTATTATTATTGTTTATTATTATTATTATTATTTAATTCAAAGATAAAAGTACAAGTATGAAAGTAAAAAACTTTGAATGTACAAAAATTCTTTAAAGAAAAATGTAATCTCAATTGTAATTATTATATTAGAATTTGTAATTGAAGATCAAAAGGCAACACGATACAATTGGTAATTATTGTTTTATTACAACATCAACTGCTAATAACATAGAAACACTAATAGTATGTTTGGTTTGAGGGGAGGGTAGGGGAGGGGAGGGGAGGATTTTTTGACCAATCAAATTACAATATTTGTAAATATTGCAATTTAAGATAAAAAATCTTTACCCCCTTGCCTCTTCTCCATTCCCCTCAACTTAAACATACTATAAGACTTCAAATCCCAATCAAATAATAAAGATTTTCACAGCTAAAAATGCTCCATTCCCTATAATGAACCACTAAAAATTGAAAAAAAAAAATAAAAAGAGATAAAACTAAAACGACAAGAATTAATGTTATAAATTGAAATAGTCTCAAACTTAATTTGATCAATTGAAAGAATTTTAAAACACCAATTTACAATATATTAGAGCCCTTTTTTTTTGAGACTAGACTGCACAAAAATTGTCGTTTGGGTTGTAAAAATATAAAATTACCTTAAGACAAAAGATATATTTTGGTGCAAGATGAACTTAAAAACATGGTTTCTAATACATAATGCAAAAAACTCTAACACTTATGTTGCCTAATTAATCTAGTTAAAAAATACAACTTATATTTATTTAAAATAACTTTATCTTAAAAATAATTACAAAAGAAAATCATTGAATATAGATTTAAAAAAAAAATCAAATGTTGTGCAATGCGTGTGTTAAAATAACTAAATAAGAAATTAATAAGTGTGTTATTTAATTTTATTTGTTATTTGATCATAATTCTAAAGAAATTAAAATGCAAGATTTGAAGGAATTCACGTACTTATTTAAGTTTAGTTCTTTAATTGAAAGAAAAGAAAACACTGTGTGAATCCTTAATTGAGATAATAGTTTAAAAAAAAAAAAAGGATTTGCTTGGATTATGGTATAAAAATTAATATTGAATATTTCTTAAATTCTCCTAATATTTTTTCCTTTTAACATGGCTTTATATAACTTTTTGAAAAAGTATTTTTGTCAATTACCAAAAGTAATTTTAAACCCAACTTTAATCACTTAATTAGAATTTTTTGACTAAAAAATCGTTACAAAAGTCAAGAGTTGATAAGAAATAATATAGAGTGTAGGTTTTAATATAAATAACTAAAAAATAACTCATGTAATGCACAGGCAAAAAAAATTAATAATTATGAAGAATAACACTCTAAGATATATTTATAGTTAATCATTATTATTATAAAATTTATAATTACTAAAAATCTTTAAAAACAAAAAGACAAACCAGCCCGCTTATGATCTAGTTCATCTTAAAATAGCAAGATATAACAAGCTAAATAACTTTTGCAGTGCCACTTGGAAGAACAGAAAGGCCTACGGCCACCCTGTTGGAGTGGGAAATCTACCATGGAGATTGGAATACCGTAGATAAGATTTTCCAAGAGAATTCATATCCAATAAATGGGATACTTAATGACAGCAAGGAAACTGCTCTTCATGTTGCAGTTTCCGCTAATGCTATAGGGATTGCTGAGAAATTGATCCAGAGAATGTCAAAAAGAGACTTGGAAAAACAAGATATATATGGTTGCACGGCTCTTTCCTTTGCTGCTCGTAGTGGGAAGAAGATAGCAGAATTCTTGGTTAAAGAGAACCCGAACTTACCAACCATCCCCAATAAGCAAGGATATATCCCCATTGTAGGGGCATCTGCTTCTGGCGATAAGGATTTGACCAAGTATCTGTATTCTGTGACCGATAAAGAATTACTAAGCCCAGATGGTGGTAAAAATGGGCCTCGTCTCCTCAATTATACCATAATCGGCAAAATGTTTGGTAAAAATTAGCAAAACTTTCATTCATCTCAAGTTCATTGGTATTCTTGCCATATATGATACATGATCTGCGTGCCAGTGTGGTTTTGTCTAATAAATATTTTTGTGTTGAGAAAGCAGATATCTCATTAGATTTACTTCGGCAATATCCAAGATTGGCCGTTACCAAAGGCGGCAACCAAGGTACTCCGATTCTAATATTGTCCAATGAACCGTCTGCATTCCTTAGTGGAAGTGGTCTTGGATTTTGGCAATGTTTAATTTATGATCGTAAGTATTAGCGGCAGTTTCTATTTTATTAATTTTCAATTTCTTTGTTTGGCATTGTTAATTGATTTTATTTTTAATCTATTGTTATATATTGAAGGTATAAAGATAAACGAACACAGTTCCTCTAATGATGTCAGTTCCTCTAACGATGTTCGAATTCCTGTTACTCGCCAAGACCAGAATGAAGGGGAAAACATCAAAATGCAAAGTATTTACATTGAATGCAACTTATCAAAGAAACCCTTTTATAAAAAGAGAAAAGCTATTATAGTTTGGTACTAATTTTTCTCTATGCAGCTTTTTGTGGACTTCGTGCATTGGACTTAATGCTTCTAAAGTTCGATCGTATGCCGCTTCAACTCAACTAAACCTTTATTTTCCTTGGCTCTTGTATAATTTTTAATTAATCTTTTTTCACTTATGTTGTTGATTCTTGATATAGGAATCAAGCAAATTTATGATTTGAAGTTGATCCATACACATTCGCTTGAAGTTCTAGAACGTATGTGCGAACACATTACAAGTTTGAATCGCAAAGAAAGTAAAGCAGCTCAAGTGTTTGAGGCTCTCTTTCAAGCGACGAAGAATGGCATGGAGGAGTTTGTGGTTGCAATGTTGAAAGCCAGACCACATATAATTTATATAACTGATAAAAATAAAAGAACCCTTTTCATGTGTGCGGTTGAATATCGTCAAGAAAAAATTTTCAGCATCTTTTGTAGCGTTGATGCATGGAAGCACCGTTTTTATCGTATTGATAATCAGGATAATAATTGCTTACATATAGCAGGGATGTTAGCCCCTAAGTTTCAACTAGCTCGCATTTCTGGAGCAGCCCTACAAATGCAAAGAGAACTACAGTGGTTCAAGGTCACTCTTCTC